GAGAAGAAGATGACAGGTTTGGGGCATGGTATTTCCTAGGATTCCTTCTTTCGGCGGCGCGCCGGGGGGGGAAGGCAGAGGCTGCGGGGCGTTTCCCATAAGCCCTCGCACCCGAGAAGCCCTCTGCGGCTTCGGGGAAGGCTTAAGAGGCCTCCTCGGAAGGCGCGAGGGCTTCTGAGAAGCCCCGCCGCCGTCTGAGAAGGGCGCCCCCTTCTGCCTTCACCCCTGGGCGCGCCGTCGATTATTACCCCAGTGCTGGATCGTATGAGCGCGCATCACCCTTCTGACCACACTGCGCTCCGTCTGCGCGCCGAGGGCGCCTAAGGTCAGGAGCTACCCCAACTCGACCTGCAAGCATCCGCCCACCGTGAACATCACCAAGTTCATCGAGACGTTTCCGGGCCACCTGATGGGCCAAGTTCGAGACACGAAGTGGACGAATGCGCTCATAAAAGAGCAGTTAGGACGCAGCCAGATATATTTGCTTGTTTCCAGAAGGAGGTAAGAATAAGGAGGAGGAGGAGGAGGAGGAGCACAGGATTGGGAGGGGGATGATGATGCTGATGATGATGATGCTGTTGATGATGCTGATGCTGATGATGTCGATGATGACGATGACGACGACGATGATGATTATAATTATGATGGTTATTATGATTACGATTACGATTATGATGAAGAAGAAGAAGAAGATGATGATGATGATGATGATGATGATGATGATGATGATGGTGATGCTGATGATAATGATAATGGTGATGGTGATGGTGATGGTGATGGTGATGATGATGATGATGATGATGATGAGGAGGAGGAGGAGGAGGAGGGGGAGCAGGTGTCTCTCGTGCTCGCTGCAGCTGGGCTCTTTAGATCGAAAACTGGGGCCCAGTTGTCAAATTTCTGTAAACCAAGTTCCAGCCGACCATGGCGAAGCTCGCTCGGGCGTTGCATACCACAATTGCAACGTACAGGCCAATACTGGTTCGATGTGATGGCACTTGTTCATCCCCCAAGATGATGATTTCAAGTGTATCGTAGCATCCCGAATTGCGGGTAAGAGTGAGGGGGCGGGCGCGGGCGACGCGGGCGTCGTCGAGCCGGCGGACCTCGTGGCCCCCACCTTCCTTGTCGATGGCGCTCTCCTCATCCTCCTCCTCCTCCTCCTCCTCTTCCTCGTCCTCGTCCTCGTCCTCATCGTAATCGTTGTATGTGCATCCTGGTTGGGACATGCTTTGTCTTCAGACCTTCCCTCTTCTGTCCTCTTTCCTCGTCCTCCCTGGGTCCCCGTGGGCAGGGCGCACCCCGTTGTGGTGGCTTGCGCGGGGCGTTGCGAAGCTTGCGAACGACGGTGCACGTGCCTCGCTACATTCTGCGCAAGCAACGAGGGCGAGGGTGAGCGTTTGAAACAAGACGAGGAGGAGGAGGAGGACCAGAGCAAGCCAGATATGCATTGACGATACTGCAACACACCCTCCCGTCCCGAGTCCCCTCCTCACGCGCCTCTGCAACTCCTCTTCTTCACTACAAGAAGCGCCCCCTTGAAAGACCAGCACGGTTGGGCCTGCCATGTTGGCGAGGGACCCGGTTCGCAAAGAAATTGCTGACAGGAGGTGGAGGAGGAGGAGAAAGAAGAACAAAAAAACGAAGCCCTCGTCTCCGCTCGCCTCTGCGCTTGGGAGCGACTGCCTGCCACAGCTCGCCCGCACTGCTGGCGCCCCCGCCCGTGGACACGGAGGCGCAGCGCAGACCCCTCGACGCGGGGCACTCGCGCGCGGCGTACCCTCCGCAGGTGGCACTGCGCGCGGAAGGGGAGCTCCCTCGAGCAGTCAGAGCTTCAGGCGTACATCGAGGCAGGCAAGACTGTCCGATCGTCTTGCCTTTCCCATGTCATCGGGTCCGATCTGCGAACACCGTGGTGTGCTTTGAGCTGCGCCGGAGAAAGAAGAACAGAAAGAAAGACAGAAAGAAAGAGGGGAGCGCCATCGTCGGCGGCGCCCCCGTGCGGCGGCGGAGAGGGCGCCCTCGCCGCCACGAGTCGTGCACGTGCGCGCGCGGGCCTGGAGGAAGGCGCCCTTGCCGCCACCGAACCGCCGACGCGCGCGCGCAGGCGGGAGACCAAGGCGCGGAGCGCGGACGCCGTCGGGCTCGGCCGTGCCAACGACGACGACAACGACAACGACGACGACGACGACGACGACGACGACGACGACGACGACGACGACGACGACGGCGGGGCGGGGACGTCCAGGTGGGCCGCCGCGGCTCCTCGCGCGGCGGCCTCCCCCGCCAGGGGGGGGGGTCGCGGCCTTCTCGCGGGCGCGGCGGCCCGGGGCAGCCGCAGGCACGGCGAGGAAACCGCCGCTCGGGGTGCGCCGTCGTGGGGGAGGGGGCCTCTGAGCACCCGCGCGCGGGCCATCTCGGCCCGCGCGCGCCCCCTTGCCGCCGCCGCAGGCCCAGGCGCCCTACACTCATGCCTCCTTCCTCCTCCTCCTCCTCCCTCCTCTCCTCTCCTCCTCCCTCCTCCTCCTCCTCACTCCCTCCTCCTCTCCTCCTCCTCCTCCTCCTCCTCCTCCTCCTCCTCCTCCTCCTTCTCCTCCTCCTCCTGCTCGAGGCCTGGAGGACATCGGGGCGGAAGGCTTTTTGGGGCCGTTTGGGCCCTCTGGGGGCGCCCTGCCGGGCCCCAGGACCATCAAGAAACGGCTCGGGATGAATCTGCACGCACGAAATGGGTACAAAAAGAATGGGCACAATGCCCAACAGCAGTTCCTGTTCATTTTGAACAGGACTCGCTGTCCGCGCAGCCGCGGCCTGTGTCCATTTGAGACAGAGGGCCGCCTGCCCAACAGCGGCCGCTGTCGGTTTGGGACAACATTTGTTGTTGGGCATTGTACCCATTCTTTCCGTACCCATTTCGGGCGTCCAAAATGAAGAGCCGGTCCCGTGGAAGGGCTCAGGACTTCCGACGACCCCGCGCGGAAGAAATCGGGACATCGCATGGTTGGGGAAAGGCTCCCCTTCTATCGGGCCGTACGAAGGGGTAGGACAGGGAAAAGGAGGGGGGTACGAGATCTGCTGCATGCAGCTGGTTTCCGCCCCGCCGCCAGGCCCATTCCTCGATGGTCGTCCCCCCCGACTTTACCTCCTCCCTCTCTCCTGGATGCGTCCAGTCCGCTGTTCGGTCGTTCCCTCGTTTGTTTCTTCGGCTCCTGGCTTTTGGTGCCCCCTCCCCTCGGCGCTTCTGGGTGGGAGGAGTTCGAGGGCCACCGCTCTTCGGAGAGCCAATGGTCCGCGGCTGGAAGCTCGAAGGAGGAGGAGGAGGCGGAGGAGGCGGAGGAGGCGCGTGACTCCTCTGCGGAAAAGGAGATGAGGGAAGATGGGAGGAGAGAAAAGAGAGCATCGGTAGCAGTGAGGCATACCATACAGCGAGGAGGGCATCGTTCTGCTCCTGTTCGCCTTGCTCCTCCTTCTGAGCTTGGTTGGCCATTTATTGAGACCGCGAGGTATCCATGTGTATCTTTCGAGTACGGTAGACCTCCCAGGGTCCCAGCGCAGATCCGAGAAATCAGCGCGGACCTCCAAAAGTGCATGTGTTATTCATTGTTTCTGATTAAATTGACCTCCATCTCCCCTTAGCTCGAGAAGCAACATCTCAGGGGCGCGGTGCTGCGATCTGGAATGGGAAGGCAGGACCTCAACAGAGTGTTCCTCGTCACCTTTGCTTCGATATCTTGAGGCGTGGGTTTCGCAGCCGGCAATTGTCAGTGTTCGTGAAAAGTTGTGTTCGAGCGATTGCGACGGATATTGCGTGGACGCGCCGGAATGCTGAGGACCTTGGTTACGGTGGGGGCGTTCGTAACGGAATGTGCCCAGGAGCCTCGAGACCCTGAATGTTCTTTGTCTGATGTGGACGGCGGTGATACGCATGGCCAGGCCTCAATTGGTGGCTCACCGGCTTTCGGACCCTGGATTCTGTATCTGAGGGTCCCTTGTCCAACGCCCTCACCGTGTCATCGTGATCCCGTGGGTGAGTTTTGCGGCGCGGCCCCCGACGTGTTCCACCACCGCACACGGATCTGCGAGCGCCCGGAGATAGTCGTGAGCGTATAGGGAGGTTGGCAGTTCCCTTCGTTTGACCGCGCCAGTCGGATGCTGCTCGAGCGCTGCCTCGACGGGGGGCGTTCTTCCGAGCCCTCTGGTGCGCTCGGCCTGCGCACGAGGTCTTCCGGGATCATCGGGAGTTTCTGCGCAGGTGAGATGCTCTCCCGAACGGCGGAGCATTCCGCCATGTAGACCCCGAGATGCGCAGAGCGGGCTAGAGTTCTGCCGCCGTGGGTGATGAGGGGGGTCTCTTGGACGGTTGCGCGTGGTCCTGTCCCCCCGTTGGTGCCCACAGACGGCGCCCGCAGGACGGTTTGCAGCGACGCGGGCACACGACGCCCCAGATGTGTCACGATGATGCCCACCTTGCGGAGGGCCATTTCTGTCTGCCTCGTTCTGAACAAGCTGTCGCCTGAGCGCTGCTGCAGCGGCTTCTCCGTGCCCTTGGCTGACGAGCTTTAGAAGCTCACGGTTTTTGTTGTTGTTGCTGTTTCCCGCGATGACCGATGAGATGAGTGCATCGGCTGGTGTATCGTCGCGGTGCCTCCCTTCGCCTCCTCCGCCCCCCTCTCCAAAAGGTGCGCCAAGGGAAGAAAAAAAAGCTTCGATCTCTGCACAAAGTCAAGGCTCTCCTTTCGCCTGCGGACACCCATTCGTCACAGCGTGCCCCGCTCGGGCCGCCCGGGCTGACACGGGGGGCCAAAAGGGTGTTCGGGCCACCCGCCGTGCCCCGCGGCCCTCGGAGGAGGCTGCCGTTATAGGCCTCGCTGGAGTGCCGGCGTGCCCTCGCTGGCCCCGTTTGAAGATCCCAGGCGCTCCTTGGGTTGAGCCTCCCCAAAGAAGCCCGTGGTCCCAGACGAACTCCCTCGGTGGAGCTGGCAGGCGATCCAGCAAACACTCTC